CAAGAATGACAGGCCGCCCGTCTTTTGTATACAAAATATTTAATAAGAAACATTTATCATATGTCATTGTTGTCCTCTCTCCACTCTTCTTGCTCATCGTAAAACTATTTGTATTTTAGTTAGATTGTTTTACAATTCTTAGTCTTGTATTCCAAAAGAAAAAAATAATAGATAGTAGTGGCTAGATTCACATCCAATAAGTTTCGTTACTATGTTTGCATATACAAATAAAACTTGTGAAAGAAATTTATTGTGTTTCGCGGGGAACAGGTCTGACCTAACCGAGCAATTCACAAGCCTGACCTAGCGGTTTATATTTTACATGCCTGATCTGAACTTACGAATCACATGCCTGACCTAACCTAGCGATTCTCATGCCTTGCCTTAACAGGCGATTCACATCTCTGATTCACATGTCTGATCTGACCTAGTGATTTACATGTCTAATCTGATCTAGTGATTTACATGTCTGATCTGATCTAGTGATTGAAATGCCTGATCTGACCTAGTGATTGAAATGCCTTATCTGACCTAGTGATTAACATGTTTGGTCTGACCTAGATTCACATGTCTGATCTGACCTAGAGATAAACATGTCTGACCTGACCTTGAGGTTCACATGTCTGACCTGACCTAGTGATTTACATGCCTGCTCTGACCTAGTGATTTACATGTCTGACCTGACCTAGTGATTTACATGCCTGCTCTGACCTAGTGATCTACATGCCTGCTCTGACCTAGTGATTTACATGCCTGCTCTGACTTAGTGATTTACATGCCTGCTCTGACCTTTGATTTACATGCCTGCTCTGACCTAGTGATATACATGCCTGCTCTGACCTAGTGATTTACATGCCTGCTCTGACCTAGTAATTTACATGCCTACTCTAACCTAGTGATTTACATGCCTGCTCTGACCTGTGATTTACATGCCTGCTCTGACCTAGTGATTTACATGCCTGCTCTGACCTAGTAATTTACACGCCTGCTCTGACCTAGAGATTCACATGTCCGACCTGACCTATTGATTTACATGTCTGATCTGACCTTCTGATTTACATGCATGATCCTACTTAGAGATTCCCATGTCTGATCTGATCTTGATATTCACATGTCACACCTGACCTAGAGATTCACATGCCTGATGAGCTGACCTAGAAATGTGTATGCCTGGCTGTACCAAGCAATGTAGATGTCTGATTAGACTATCAACCTATCAAAGGAAACCAAGAAAATGAAGACAGGGATATGACAGTTATACGGGACACTGTATTTCATTTCTGTACTATTGTATATATTACCAAATTTTTAAGGTGCACCTGTATGTGAGCCCGCGTTCATATTGAAAAGTATGGTGGCATATTTCTGCCATCCACTTGCGACTTACGAGTTACGTATGTCGACATAATTATTGAAAGATGTCGACATAATCTGAGAAGATGTCGACATAATCTGAGGAGATGTCGACATAACTGTTAAATTATGTCGACATATTATCACATTTGCCGAGATAATCATCTCGTAAGTGGGTAACTCGGCTTTTTATCGTGTTAATGCTCGGGTGTGACATCGACTTGCCACTTACGACTTGCCACTTACGACTTATTTATGTCGACATCCTAGTAGATTATTGCCGACTTACCAAAACGAGGCTTGTGCACGAGGACCGCGAAGGTGGGCTGATGGTGACTGAACAGTGGTGACTATACTGGTGAGTAACTTGGTAAAATCAATGTAAATATGGGAAATCAAAGATATGGATATTACAGTAGGTTACTATGATGTACAGAGTTTATCAATCAAAGAGGGATTTTACATAAATAAGTCGTAAGTGGCAAGTCGTAAGTCGATGTCACACCCGAGCATTAACACGATAAAAAGCCGAGTTACCCACTTACGAGATAATTATCTCGGCAAAATTATCTCGGCAAATGTGATAATATGTCGACATAATTTAAAAGTTATGTCGACATCTTCTCAGATTATGTCGACATCTTTCAATAATTATGTCGACATACGTAACTCGTAAGTCGCAAGTGGATGGCAGAAATATGCCACCATAGAAAAGGGATTTTGTTGGAACAGATTCTTGTTCCTGCCGTCTTGGTTGAGTGAATATTGGCCACACGACTAATGTCTAAAATACCATAATTAAAACGGTGATATCATATGTAACCGATGCCCCCTCTCTACTCTTTTCTTGCTGCTGTTAAACCCAAATGTCATAAAAAAATATCTAAAATTTCTTAGACTAAAGGAAAGAACGTAATTACATGTAAGTTGCTAACACTTTAACTCAGTTGTTTTTGTTTTTCTGTTTTGCAATGAAATTTTTATCTAAATATGAAAGAGAGACATTAACTGTATGTTTTTATTTTAAATCTTAAAAGAAATCATTCGGTTATGATTTTGCATATTATTTCCTTCACTTGTCAAATGCCTTTTTAAATACTGCATATATTGTTCATAATTAGTTCTGCGGTCTGTGTAAGAAAAGTTTAAGTCTTATTTCGTGATTTTTTTTTTTTACTGAAGCAAAGTCTTGTCAGCCAATGGCAAGTGATGTCCGTGTTTTAATAATCAAATTTTCAATTAGTTTGACAACTGCTGTCAAAAGTTTTACATTTTTGCGATTTAATTATCAATAAATCTTAATATTTTGGTAATACGTTTATGTATGCCTATCTATAACTGGAATTATTTTATTTTGTTGTGTAAATAATGCAAAGCAAATAATAATGTATTTCTCATAAGCCTACTTCAAACTGGAGGTTCATCAGATCAAAGCTTAATGATATACTCTTTTTGATTACTTTTATCAGCAACGAATATTTCTTAATATGTTTTTATATTGTGATTCGCGACACTGACACAATGTTACTTGATTGATTGTTTGATTATTTACTAAGTATTGATCGATTGATTGATTGACATAAAACAGATAATAAAGGGGAATTAACAAATTCATTAATAACACAAACAATATTTGTATGCCATTAAAATGTCTCTATCAATCATTGCTCTGTTTTTACGCTTTTTTGTGAATCACGTAGCGCTACATACTTTAAGACTTACGCAACTTAATCAACCAATCAGCAAGTGTTTCATACAAATGTAATCCCTTTATTAAAATTTGTTCCAGATACACCCAGTGCCTCTTGTTATTTTTGACGTTGACAATTCTTATTGAGTGACCTTTATCACTATTTAACTCTGGGAAATGTATAGGTTAGTAGATTTTAATATCTCTAGACGGATTTATAAAGGGGTAAAAAGTCGGGAGGTGTTAACTGCTTCGGCTTGAAAACTTCAGGTTGAAAGATATGATCCTCTATTTGCGCTTTTATATGCCTTTAAACCCGTCACAAATGCCTTTTAAAGCCTTTGTGAGATACATATCTACGTATCTACACATCTTTCACCTGTGTTGAATAACCATTAAAGCTATTAGCTCAAAAGCTAAATAATAACATAAATTAAATTATTTGGTTTGTGTGAGTCGGTTCATGATGTACGAACCACTTCCAAAAACTGTAACCGGGTATTGGAAACAGAATTTTCCGACATAACTGTATCTTTTATTTATCATTTTATTTTGTTTCAGCAATTTGCATGCCAGATCTAGTGGTAATTCTTGCTTGATTTGATCTAGTATGGTTGATACTAGTTGTGGTTATACATGCAAAACTTATTGCAAACTAGTTTCAGTATGATGAGACATATTTAACAAGACGAACAATGAAAAGTTGTTCTAAAAAAATGTGTATTACCTATTTATTACTTATTCGTATAATTTTGTATCTCATATAGGTACATCATATTTTTTGCTACAAAAGTAATAATGAAAATAATAATACAACCACTTTATGTTACTAAGTCATTCTCAGGTACTTCAGAGGAAAATAGTTCATACATTAAAAACAATTAAGCATGAAGATACACAACTATTAATATATGTAAATGCAACACTATATATACATGCTGGCTTACCTTACATGCTGGTGTGCCTGGACTGTATCGGTATGGCAAACCATAACTGTCAGCGAATAGTCGGCTGTAAAATGAAGCCGCTTTTGATGATGAAACAACGATAATCAATCAGTGAATCATTATATATAATCTATAAACCCATTAATAAATCGTCGTTAACCTATTCACAATATAATGCAGCATGTTTTTTTTGAAATAATCGTTTTTTAAATTATAACCTGAGTTTAATACCTTTTAATTGCTGTTATTCATTCCTGGTTTCTAATGCATACCAACCATTTACATTCCCTCCCTCTAACTGTTCACCTGTTGTCAGGATAATGTAATCGAGTGCAATGCTATGATGTGTGTCTTCGGCATGGTATTTCAGAAGCTATGACTTAGAATTTGTCATTAGATCCGCGCTATCACAAGGTCGTAATACACCAACACCCGTGCAATGTGAAGCATTATATGGCATGTGATGTGAAAGTGTATTGTATTTAGCATGTTAGGTGTGTATGGTATGTGTAGTGTGCACGGTTTACGGCGTGTATATGGTATGAGCCTATGTATTGTATGTGTGCAGTATGGATTATTCATTTAGCTCTTCAGCGCCTCCGTACTACACGGAAAATTTAACTATTATAATATGTTAAATCCAAAGTGCCTGCTAATGTATTATTAAGGTTGACTAACAACTTGGAGGTATTACTACATACACAGTAGAGAAACACTTCTTACAACAAAGTTGGTATGTGTTTTGTTGTTCTACTCTCACGACCAATTTGCATTTTCTTTCTGCTTATAATGTGACAGTTCAAATTACTTTATATGTTGCGATCTCATCTAAATAGTAGTGTAGAAAAAAAAAATATAACAAAATAGAATCTGAAACAATAAATGGCCATAAATATTTTAAATTAAACTTTGTTTCGGTGCATGGGATTTAAATTCCTGCGTTAAAACTGTGCATTCATCACGGAATTTGGTCACGTCCTTCTAGTGAATCATGCCGAGGAACATTCATGGCCATTTTAAAACAAAGAAGAGATATGAATATGATATTAACCATCTAAAGTAACAAGGAGTTGCGTTATTAACGAATTAACGAGGTTCTCTGTGATTCGTTTAAAGATATCTTGCAACTTAAATATTTTTCGTGAGCTTTAAAGTGTATTATGTCAATCAATTGAAGGAAGCAAAATTGTGGGAGTGTCTTAACTAATTAATTCCAGTTCTTAGATCATATGTATCGCGGAAGTGCTCTATCGAACACCCGGTCATATTGTCTGCCACATGATGTCTTCTCTTCTGATGCTCTTTGTTGTACTGCTAACCAGCATTGTAGATTGCGGATCCCGCAGGAGATCGAAGTCGTACAGGTCGAGATATGGAAAATATGGATACGACCGATGGGACAAATGTCCAAACATTAAAGGTTTCTTCAGCTATGACCCAAAGTCACCTTGTGGTAAGACGATTTCATTTGTTTTTAAATAGCATGAGAGTATATACTATGATACAATTATAACACAAAATTCTTATGCATCTCTTTATTGCATTATCTTGTATAAGTGGAAAATAGGCCTAAATCTTATTATTATGCACATTTTAATAGATAGCGTTATATACAAATACAATTCTAATGCATTTTTATGATGCAAGTGTCTTCCTCATATCAGCGCATTGATAATGAATAATTCTATCTCAGCTATTGCCGAAGTGGTTTACTGCAGGTCATATATAGTATACGCTAGCATCAACATTTTAGATGTCGATGGTAGTCTTTCTGTTGAGATATGGATACCGTATAAATCAGATTTATCCCTTCTCGGAATCGTCCGGACAGTTGGAATATTTTTACTTTCATACTTATTGTAACAACGTGCAATGCATGCCTTCACGTGGACATGATGATATGATTAATCATTGAAATATTGACATTAGGAAATGTTGTTACATCACAAAAATGAAAGTCAATATTTTCGAAAGTGTTTAATGTAAATACATGCATATTATAAGCATAGTTTCGATGGCTGCATTGCCTTATTGTATACTTGTATCAAATCGTATTCTTCATTAATGTTTGTTGAATGACTTGTAATTTATGAATTATTTTGAATTTCAAGGACCCTGATTCGACGAAATGACTGTATAGCGCAGTAAATGTTTTCTCTATTTGGCTTGCTGCATCGAGTCACTAAATGTATACACTTTTGGTTCCTTACTTCCTATTTCTTGTGATCACTTGTAAAGTGTATTTTCCTTTTAGAGTCTCTTTATCTAGAGTGGTAGGCTTATAGGCTATAGGAAGAAATGAATGTCCGTCATGTCATGCGCACATCACTATATTTAGATATCCAACTTGTAGTGTTAAAGTTTATTGACTGTGTCAGATTCATTTACAAAGGTCTATTTTTTGTTTTTCATTAATGCTAATGTGTCTTTTAAAATGATGTAAATTGTTGTCAGCTCAAAAGATGTTTTTTGGTTTCTCCCCACAAGGCCTTGTCTCATTGTCCCAATTTAGTCACGCTCTGATGAACATGAAACTTACCTGTTTGCATGTGCTACTTAATTACATATTTATGTCATGGAGAAAAAAGGTCATAAATGGCAATACCATTAATGCAGCTGTAAACGCATTCGCAAGTTATAAATATATATAAACCCTATATAAAAGTTCTTCTCACCCAATTCATACCAAATTAGGACATCATGTTTTGTACATATTTTCGTTTCCCCACTGGCGATGTAAATTTCACTGAAAGCATTTAAATATGCTACTAAAGTAACTCCCACTTACAACCATATATTTTGGAACATAGCTAGTGTGACCTATCAGCAATGTAAGGATTCGACACTGTAAAAACGGAAATTCCTCATTGAGGAAATTTTCGCGTTTACATTGGTTCTATAAGTTATATATTCTATGTACAGATATTGCATATAATCTATAGATAATATTCGTTAATTGAAATTTTCGTGCTTATTTACGAAACGCAAAAAACGCAGGAATTTCCTCACTACAATGATCTCCACTTTGGAGTGGTTATCTATTTATTTAACTAATGATAAGAGTTGTCACTTATAATAGGGACACTTTCGACCTTTAAAATGTGTTGACGATGATACATTTATGAAATATGTAAATACAATGTAAAACAAATAAAAAACTATAATGATATGAAAATTTTATTAAATGGTTCTCAAGAAAGCAAGATGTCAATATCAAATATTCCCTACTCCAACAACTAGAAAAAATATTAATCTGATATAAATTGCTTATAATGGTTTAATGTATCACATTGATTCATCGCTCTAGCATGACGTGTGAAATATTCTGGTAATAATGGCTTAAAAGATTGAAACACGTATGAAGTTATATGAATCTCCTTTGAATTTGAAACGCCGCAAGAAAGAAAATATACAACAATTTCTTTTCTTTTTATTATAGATAACTTTTATACTCCTTTTATGCAAAACATATATTTGTTATGTATAGCATTTAACAATAGTCAAACAAAATAATTTAAGTTAATAGGGGCTGCTAAAAATGCCCTTATAATTACTCTTGCAGTCATAAAGGCGTTATTTAAAAGAATCACATTTTAGTCCGCCCTATGGAGCTCAACGGAGGGGCCTTATTATAATGTCATCTAGCCAATCAGAAGCCATGATGGCTATGTTGGATCCCTAAATCCTAATTTCGGTTGTTCAAATAAAAATAAACTCCATATACATAATCTCGATATACGTTGCTGACGAACGCATTTGGCACAAACTAGTTAGAATCGAATTGTCTTGACATTTTAGAGGCCGGTTCACTGCAATCATCTTACGAAAAAAAAAAATGTTATTTAAACCTAGAGAAAATGATATAAGCATCCATTCCTCCTATTTTAATTAATAATTTGACCAATCAATTCCAACAAAAAAATATTACTAGGATATGCTTCATCAAATTTCAAGGCCACGACAATCATGTTTGATGTTAGATTAAGAAAGAAAGCATTGATAGAAAGCTACATCTGTTGATCAAAACTCTTATCGTTTTTATCACAACTTTCCCAATAGACCTACTGTTAAAAGCCGAATTGTCGCAGCCAATCAGAGGCCGTAGCTGTAATTTTTGAAGACTGATAGAAAAGTTACTATTTCAGGAATAACGATTGCCAAAAATATCCATTTGTTTTTAATATTCTCTAAAATATCAAAAACTTTAACTATGAGACATAGAATAGTGCTATAAAACTAAACTAATCAGATGCCGTGACGCAAATGGACAGCCTTATGCTATTCAGACCAAATTACCCTTTAGACACTTAGGTATATACATATAATCAACGCACGCTTGTATATTATTGTGGAATATACATTCGTTTGGATTTTAAATCATTGTGTCACATTCGTTATGTATTCCACCATTATACGAGCATAAATGTTAATATTTCATAAAAATATCCTTATTATTAACATGATAAATTCCAAACAGCTTAATATATGCAAATTTACACGATCCATTCTAATCGTAAAATGGAAGAAGTGCATACTCACTAACATACGTTTTAAATTCTACCATACGTAGCCTTCATAATTTCAACTCAATATTCTGAGTTTGGCACATTCCTGATGCATAGCAATTGCAATAGAATATATGCATAATATCAAATAAAAAAAGAAATATAGAAATAAATAAATAAATATTACGCCAACCGAGGATTTTAAAAGTATGTTCCTCACACATTTAGCGTAGTGAATAATAGAAATGAAATCATAAACTAAAAAGGTAAGATGCATAAGCACTTTTCTGTTCCAGACAACGAGTAAAGAAAACAATTATACAATTTCTAAATGGGTTAAGACCAATTAAATAAATTCCTTCAAAGCTCTGATATACTTATAGCCTGTTTTACTTATGTTTTATATATGGCTTGACCAACATTTGTGGACTCCAGGAAATGTAAATCCTCTCTGTCAGAAAGGTGTCACACGTGTGTCATGGAATACGTCCCATGACAGAAACAAAAAAATATGTGATTACTTGAAATTACATTGCAGGGCCCCAACACTGGCATAAAAAATATCCAAACTGTGGAGGCGACACACAAAGTCCCATCGATATCCAGACTGACAAAACAAGGTGTGGAGAGGATGATGGCTACGAACGAGTTTATTATAAACCTTCAGGCAAATCTAAAGGAATATTTGAAAATAACGGTAAAATATGTTTTTTTTTAAACTCTAGCGTTCATTGTCATCGAAATGAAACAATATTCATCATATCATTTTTGTCAATGAAAATTTGATATTACTTTAACACAAATTGAAGTGACCATTCAAAACTAAGTAATACTGGTGACGTCATTAATTTACAAACAAAATTGTATATGTCTTAATTAATAGGATTGTAATGATCTAACAAAAATCAACATTATAGAAAAACAGACTGTTCATAAGTACTGGTGGGTTTTTTTACCAGGTCATGCGCCTAACTTTAAAGTAAAAAAGGGTGATCATTCAAACATACTTATTCTGGGTGACGACGAAAGGAACGACGACGATGGCACCCGATATGTATTTAAAGGACTTCACTTCCATATAGGAAAGAGAAGATCGTCTTATGGATCGGAGCATACCGTTAACAAGAAAGGCTACAAAGGCGAGGTAAGCTAGCCAATTAAAGCCTTCTGACGTCATTAGTTTGTTTGTATTCAGTTTTTTTCTCTCCATTGTAATAGAATATAAGATGAACAGTAAGACAAAAGCTTAGCAAAACAATGTCGAAAAGAAAAAGTATGTAGGAGAAAAAAAGAAAATGTTAAGATCCGAAAAAATGCAACGGGGGCAGCAAATCAATTTTAGTCTCTTCAATGACCTTTTAGCAGTACACACACAAAAAAACGCATTCTACAGTGGGACCCACATAAGTCGCCTCTTACAATAACGTCCAGTGCGATACAGTAGACCAATTCTTCCCTTCAACTTTAAGGGGTAATATTCAAGTCCCTTGTAACATTTAGTTGGTATCATATGTTTTTAACGTTAATTTTTTGACAGGGTATAATGATGTTAAATGTCGGCACCATTTATGTCAATGTAATATTCATTTCAAGTAAACTGTTATGTCGCAGTCTCGCTTTCATTTAATACAAACTGCAATCATGTCTTAAACAGGTATCTCTTTTAAATACGTAGAATCACCATCAGCATTCCTCATTTTCTTTAACATTGTTTTTGTAATCAAACATTTGTGTGGGTTTACCAGGAAACATTGTATAACACCATGACAAGCTGTAGACAAAGACGACCTAAAACTGATTGTGATCAGTCAGGTACATTACACAACAACAGGTGTTTTTTTGCGAGTGAGGTTAATTCAGAATGTAAAATGATGTTACAGGTCCTTGCTTAGACTGTTTAGTCTGGGGCAACATAGGTCTGCTGTATCCCTCTGTTTTGAATATAAATGGTACCTAATGTGGACCCTTAGTTGAATATGGGAGTTCTCTTCTGTGTCCTCTGCATAAGGGAATATTAGTGAACTCAATTTGGCATTTTTGCCCCCATTGCAACACTCTATCTTTTATAATTTTCCTAGAGTATCTCTATGCGCTAGTCCTCGCATGTCCATAGACGTTAAGAAGAGACCAATCTCTATGCAAACAAATATGAGTTATATGTTATAGCAATTAGCTCAGGATTAAAACTTGCAATGATGATGTTGAATTTGTGAGATGGTCGGGTGGTTCAGTGGATAGCGCTCTTACCTTTCACTAAGGCGGTCGGGGTTCGATTCCCCGATCGGACGTGAAAAGGTATGGGCTCACCTGCCCGACCACGTTAGTTTTCTCTGGGTGCTCCGGTTTCCTCCCACAGTAAGACTCCCCGCGCGCTAACATTCGGGCCAACAAGCGTGATTGGTATCAGTTGGAAAAACGTGTCTCATAATTGTTGTTAAATAAATAAAATTTATATATTTATATTTATAATTTATGAGAAACACTTGCTCAGAATTAGTGTCCAATTATTATGTTTTGGTAAATGTCAATTTATATATGACAAGATCTGTTATGACAATAAATAACCTATATCGAGGGTGTAGCAACACTTGAAGTCACACTTAAAACCCATTTTCACATTTGAAATATCTGTGGGAATAGTACCGTTTGCATATAAATTCTTCGAGCTTTTGCCTGAACGTATGTGTATAACTTTTTGTACAATAAGGAAGATATGCGTTTTTATTTAAAAAAAAACAAGTTTTCACTAAGTGTTTTGTTACATAGGATAGCTGCTTTGTTGCTTGGAAAGGATATGTTTGTCACAAAAATAACAAATAGATAAATAAAATGCAGGTTAAGAACTCTTAACATACATACTCAAACACTTATCACTCCTGGTGCATGTACATCAGCCTGAACTATTTACCCCGATGTAATTTCATGGTATGGTTATGTTAGTTGTTATCAAAGCAGAAGGAGGTTTCGATGAAACTGGAATTATTTTTATCGCAGTCAGGCGTCATTTTTTTTATCAAGTTTGCCATGGCAACTTGCATTGGTGGCAAGTTCAAATTAGAAATACCGTTTCTACGCGATAATGTTTTTATATTCATTTATAAGCATGTATTTCTTTCATAGATACATTTGGTACACAATAGAGAGAAAGCAAAGAGGACAAACACTGGCGATGATGACAAAGAAAACGGTCATGAAAAAAAGTATCTTGTAGTAGGAGTGTTCTTTGATGTAAGTAGAATTAACTCATCCCCTGTTGTCCTCCTCCTTATCTGTGCTCCCCTCCTCGACGTCATTGTCAGAAAAATTCAACTCAATTCTGATTTAATTCATAATTTATTTACATGCAAATGGTTTAAAGGGTGATGCCTACATGCAAATGGTTTGTAGGGGGATGCCTACATACAAATGGTTTTGAAGGGTGATGCCTACATAAAAATTGTTTGAAGGGTGATACACTGTACCTGAAAACATTTGTAGAGAAGTAAAATAGTTTTTGTTTTTGACAATATTTGTTGACGCAATTATTAGGTAATTTTTGTAAATATTTACCCAGGTTTTCGACGACTGTGGTAGTTATGCGGACAAGCTGATCTCGAAATACGTGACCAAAATTCCTGAGTATTTGGACGAGACAAGTAAGTTACACTTTAAGTGTCTTACTATTATATATTTCAATGTTAAAGGGTCTGTTCGGGGAAAAAATTACAAAATAAATGGGTCTAAATGCGTTCTCTGGCCTTCCAAAAGTTATAACACGGCAATATGAAGGTCGAGTTCCGCTTGCAATGTCCAGTTTTGACCACTGAAATCTCGGGGACGCCCCGCGTAAATTTAGCGCAGATTTATTTATATATGTCACGTGGTTGTTTCGAAAGTGAGGCAGTGAAGATATATAGCACGCCGTCATGTGCCATGTCGGACTCAACTAGCGGACAAGACAGCAATACTATACGTAAATAATTGTTTTCAAAGGTCATGTATGATGCAAGTGTAGTATTCCTACCTATATGTTGTTGTTATATATAACGGTATTGATACCTCGTGCCTATCATGACCTTTGCATGCATCTTTTTCTTTCGCCGCGATGTTTACATTTGGCCTTGTTGATGACGCGCGTGCGGTAAAATTGCATCACTGATCTGGGTCAATTGAGAGTTTTAGACTGCCAGGTGACGATTTAGGATTTCTTTAATATAAATATAATTTTTACTCTTAGGGAGTGAATTTCAGCAAAATTTGTATCGGTATATTTCATAAGAAGGTATTTTAAACAGGTGTATGCCATTTTAGCAAATATGACATTTTTTCCCCGACCAGCCCCTTTAAATCAAGGTCCCAAGTTTAAAAGGCAGGATTTACCAAAAGACCAAAATAATGAAATTCAAAACTACAATAACATCTCTAGGTATGATCCCCTGAATGCAAGCTAAGTTGAATATATTTGTGTTTTCTAATACTTAAAAACATGTATTTCTTTCTCCCCATTTAAGCAAATAAGAATATTTTAACAACATTATTTATGAGTGGGAGACAAAGGTTACAATGAAAATTAATGTTAAAAGAGATATTTAATAACTTACTTATAACTTATAATTACTTTCCAACTTTTTCATTTATTGAGCTTCAGTCGATACGAGAAAAACTACAGCAATATCTATTTATCTTGTAATAAGTGGTAAAGGTTTTGTGTGGCGAATGTAAGCACTTTTATGTGAGGACGCTATATTTGTTCAGGGGGTGAGGCGAATGTAGGCTGACCACAGGACTTCACAACCCCGACAGTCCCCATCAACATACACAGGACTTCACAAGCCCGACAGTCCCCATCAACATACACATATCTCACACCCCGAGAGTCCCCATCAACATACACATATCTCACAACCCCAACAGTCCCCATCAACATACACAGGACTTCACAAGCCCGACAGTCCCCATCAACATACACATATCTCACACCCCGAGAGTCCCCATCAACATACACATATCTCACAACCCGACAGTCCCCATCAACATACACATATCTCACACCCCCGACAGTCCCGATCAACATACACATATCTCACAACCCCGACAGTCCACATCAACATACACATATCTCACAACCCCGACAGTCCACATCAACATACACATATCTCACAACCCCGACAGTCCTCATCAACATACACATATCTCACAACCCCGACAGTCCACATCAACATACACATATCTCACAACCCCGACAGTCCCATCAACATACACATATCTCACAGCCTCGACAGTCCCCATCAACATACACATATCTCACACCCCCGACAGTCCCATCAACATACACATATCTCACAACCCCGACCGTCCCCATCAACATACACAGGACTTCACACCCCCGACAGTCCCCATCAACATACACATACCTCACAACCCGAGAGTCCCCATCAACATACACATATCTCACAGCCCCGACAGTCCCCATCAACATACACAGGACTTCACAACCCAGACAGTCCCCATCAACATACACATATCTCACAACCCCGACAGTCCCCATCAACATACACATATCTCACAACCCGAGAGTCCCCATCAACATACACATATCTCACAACCCCGACAGTCCCATCAACATACACATATCTCACAACACCGACAGTCCACATCAACATACACATATCTCCCAACCCCGACAGTCCTCATCAACATACACATATCTCAGAACCCCGACAGTCCCCATCAACATACATACATATCTCACAACCCCGACAGTCCCCATTAACATACACATATCTCACAACCCCGACAGCCCCGATCAACATACACAGGACTTCACAACCCCGACAGTCCCCATCAACATAAACAAATCTCACAACCCGACAGTCCCCATCAAAATACACATATCTCACAACCCCGACAGTCCCGCTCAACATACACATATCTCACAACCCCGGCAGCCCCCATCAACATACACATATGTCACAACCCCGACAGTCCCCATCAACAAACACATATCTCACAACCTCGACAGTCCCCATCAACATTCACATATCTCACAACCTCGACAGTCCCCATCAACATACACATATCCCACAGCCCCGACAGTCCCCATCAACATACACATGACTTCACAACCCCGACAGTCCCCATCAACAAACACATATCTCACAACCTCGACAGTCCCCATCAACATACACATATCCCACAACCCCGACAGTCCCCATCAACATAAACAAATCTCACAACCCGACAGTCCCCATCAACCTACACATATCTCACAACCCCGACAGTCCTCATCAACATACACATATCTCACAACCCGGCAGTCCCCATCAACATACACATATCTCTCAACCCCGACAGTCCCCATCAACATACAAATATCTCACAACCCGACAGTCCCCATCAAAATACACATATCTCACAAACCCGGAAGTCCCCATCAACATACACATATCTCACTACCCCGACAGTCCCCATCAACATAAACATATCTCACATCCCCGACAGTCCCCATCAACATACACATATGTCACAACCCAGATAGTCCCCATCAACATACACCTATCTCACAACCCCGGCAGTCCCCATCAACATACACATATCTCCCAACCCCGACAGTCCCCATCAACATACATATATATCTCACACCCCCGACAGTCCCCATCAACATACCCATTTCTCACAACCCCGACAGTCCCCATCAAGATACACATATGTCACAGGAGGAACTGCAATTGGGTATATATATACATAAAATCATGATGGGGAATAAAATACTAGGAACCTAAAATACAACAGAGAACAAATAGTTTATTTTTTAAAGAGGAGAGTCCCCATCAACATACACATATCTCAAACCCCCGACAGTCCTCATCAACATACACATATCTCACAACCCGAGAGTACCCATCAACATACACATATCTCACAACACCGACAGTCCACATCAACATACACATATCTCCCAACCCCGACAGTCCTCATCAACATACACATATCTCAGAACCCCGACAGTCCCCATCAACATACATACATATCTCACAACCCCGACAGTCCCCACCAACATACACATATCTCACAACCCCGAAAGTCATAATCAACATACACATATCTCACAACCCCTGCAGTCCCCATCAACATACACATATCTCTCAACCCCGACAGTCCCCATCAACATACCCATTTCTCACAACCCCGACAGTCCCCATCAAAATACACATATCTCACAACCCCGACAGTCCTCATCAACATACACATATCTCAGAACCCCGACAGTCCCCATCAACATACACATATATCACAACCCGAGAGTACCCATCAACATACACATATCTCACAACCCCTGCAGTCCCCATCAACATACACATATCTCAAACCCCCGACAGTCCTCATCAACATACACATATATCACAACCCGAGAGTACCCATCAACATACACATATCTCACAACACCGCCCATCAACATACACATATCTCACAACACCGACAGTCCACATCAACATACACATATCTCACAACCCCTGCAGTCCCCATCAACATACACATATCTCCCACCCCCGACAGTCCCCATCAACATACCCATATCTCACAACCCCGACAGTCCCCATCAACATACACATATGTCACAGGAGGAACTGCAATTGTGTATATATATACATAAAATCATGATGGGGAATAAAATACTAGGAACCTAAAATACAACAGAGAACAAATAGTTTATTTTTTGAAGATAGTTAGGTTTTACTCAAAAACCTCATTAGTTCTGAAATGGACAACTCTTTAAGCTAGCTAGGTTTTATCAATTGGCCTCACTTGAAGATTTTTGTAACACTTAATAATTCAACCATATCTTTTGTTAATCTCACCAATTAGTGATCCTTGTCCCGCTGCAGGTTAACACTAAATAATTCCAATATAATTTTCTTTGCCTCAATAATTAATGAACCCCATCCCAATGTACACTCCAGAAAACTGTTGTTGATATCTCGTTTCTATATGTCATCTTATCTAAGATCATGATGGTTAGTAAGATAAGACTCCATTGTTACAGTTGTTAGGACAGGGACAGACATCCAATTGTTAACGCTGATTTGTTTCTAATCAATGGACTATAGAAAATGTACGAATTGCAGCCTTTGAACATAACCGTAAATTTTAAAATGTATTTAAAAAAACGAAGTTGAACATTAAGTGACATATAAAATCCACGTATAAAACTGAATTCGACTATACAATTTGAAACGGGGGAAAATACATGTAACGATGTTTTTCTCGGTAATGTCACCACTAATTGTACGCCTTTGTTAGAACGGGCAGAGGTCAGGCCAATACTAATGTTGCCCGAGGATGGAAAATATTATTACTACGTTGGCTCCAAAACAACGCCCGGTTGTTATCCTGGATTTCTCTGGATAATATTCAAAACACCGACTACTGTCTGTAAAAAGGTAGGTTAAATTTCTGTTTTTGTTTCGGAAACACGTCTGACAATAGTTTGTTCATGCCTGATTAATACACAGACTTTAAGGTAGAGAGTCCTGCGCTCTGTGTTTTATCTCCAACCATAGAGAGTTCCAACTGGTTTGGCTCATGACTTATAGATGACTGCCCATTTACTAAGAGCACAGACATGTTTTACATTTTTATTTTCTATTGACAAAAACACTGATTATTAATCAGGCAGAATATCCAATGTGTTACCAGTTATGACTTTTTGTATGTTTATATATGCTTATCTCCAATACTACTGTGTATTTGAATAAGATCAATTCTCAAATATTCCACTAAAAGGTCCGCAAACTATAGATGTCTTTGTATAAATATAATAGCCTATGTATTTTACAGGAAATAACTATTTAATACATGTTCAAAGAAGCCAATTGGTAGGAGCTCTTTGCCTTAAGACAAAGCCTGGATATTTATAAATCTGTCAACCCATATACTTATATACAAATAAATCACGATCTTTAGCTTTCGAAATTCCTATGCAGTTTCTATGGACAAATGGAAATCACATACTGCATAAATGACTGTTTGATACAGTGGAAACCTCACTTGTTAATCGTATGGAAACAACTGCTACAGTTCTCGTTTTGTCGATAATCAGGATATATTCTTTATAATAGAATAAATTTGATCGTAAGTCCATTGAAAATGAGATTTATTTTAACGCTGAGAAGCTAACATCATCAGTGAAGCAGACTGTTATTAAACCATACACAATATTATATGATATTGTATGACGGAATTATTTACAGAATTACAAAGTATTGAAGGACTTGGAAACATGGGAAGCTGGCAATCCACCACTAAGTAAATTTGGAAACAATCGTCCAATTCAACGCTACGCTGTAGACGACGTCAAAATGAACTTTGGCAAGAGATGCAGAGGGACAAAATAGAAATTCGGAAATCTAATTTCTGGAAAGTGTACATAAAATGTACGTGGACTAATTTTCGCTATTGCCACTTCATCTCGACATTTCGCGAGGTTTTGAACTCGCAAAAATTACGATAACACACTGTCCTTTTATACTAAATATTCTTTAATGAATTTTAAACCGTCTCCCCTTAAAAATAAAATAGGAGAATAGAAACCTTGCAGAAAACAAGTCAATCACAGTATATATCTGAAATCTCAGTCAGAATAAAGCTCTACTGAACTGTGCTGATTTGTCTGTTTTATAGTGAATTTACAGTAGAATACTACATCTGAATTTGGGATGCAGGTGATTTTAATAGGATCCCCGCACCACCGCCAAGCATGTGTAAATATAAAATTGAAACTTTTAACCTGAAAATTGGCGAAATAAATAATTTCTTAAAAGCAGTTTTTATTTTATTTTTATCAGCTTTTGGGAAGGGTTTACAGTATAATTACGCACTTGCACAATACAGGTATTCGTTATTGATAAAAACAAGAGAATACCAAGCTTTTAACAAACTTGTAACTTGAACTCAAAATCAAGTAGAGAGGAAAGATGAACAAATGATACCTATACACGGACACTCTTAAAATAGTACAAGGGAATAACACCAGATGATCAAGAAGGACAAGTGTTTTCTGCAACATCGACGACGCTCCCACGTTAGTCTAGATCAATAATCCTAGTAACCATAACCCTAACACTAACCAATGTAATGTCACGTCCCAATAGCGAAAACCGGAGTAGTGGCAACGATAGAATCAGGCTTAGAAGTAGATATTAATGTTGTCTACCTTGGATGACGTCATTCATTTGTATGGCATCTATAGTCAGATAATTTGGTAGGATTATACAGTGACAATGCCGTGCAAATATTAATGCAATTCCTGTTTTTTTTTTCACATTCTGTATACTAAATTTGATAGGTGTAAATACTTGTATATGTGTTAAGTTATTATTTATATATACAAGGTAATATAATCTGCTGGTTTGTAATAATCTTGAACGTCATAGTTATCGTTTTTGCCTTAGTGACACGGTTTATATTATGTAAAGTTAACTCGTGGTTCATTTGTAAAACTTTAACCTATACTCATCTAATTTCTCAATGATATAATTAAGTGATTTTATGCACCTACCCTTCTGCTTCAACAACAGTTTAGAACAATTTTGTTTCAACTCTTGGGACGGTTAGTGTTATCGGCGATGTCTAGGGCAAAACAGCTATTTTGTAAAGTATAATTCGAAGAGTTAAAAGTCTTAATGTGTCTAAAAAGGATTATTATATATCGAAAGCAGATCATACACGAAATGTACTAGTGTTTTCATTTTACTTTTTGTTAAAGTCACAATTTTGAACAAGGTTTTAACTGCTGTGACGGGGCAACACTCAGAACTGCACGTTGATACTAAGAATAAATATCAAGTTTCCTATTAACGTGTGGAAATGTACCAGAACCTACGTGGTGTTAGTGACAATTGAAAGTCCATTTACCTGAAGTATGTTGACAGGATCACTTGCAGACCACCATTAAAAATATAAAATGTATGAAGCCATCAGAATAACTTACCAACGTAGTTAATCACTGTGTTCCGAACAATTACGCTAGGTTATCGGGCATCTCGTAACTTAACTTATATTGGTGTTGCGTTAATTTGACGGAGTGAGGTGAGAGTTTATATTTTATTAACAATATAATACAAAGGTCTAGAGTTTACTGAATGCTTTACAAGAAGAGAAATCTACCACAAAATAGAAGCCTACTTTACAAACAGAAATCTACCACAAAACAGATATTTACCACAAAACAGAATTCTACCACAAAACAGATATTTACCACAAAACAAAAATCTACCACAGAACAGATATTTACCACAAACCAGATATTTACCACAAAACAGAAATCAATAACACAAAAATCTGCCATGAAACAAAAATCTATTATACAGAGAGAAATTACCCGCAAACCAAAAAATTGCCATATAACAGAAATCAATAAAGACAGAGAAATTAATTCTAACACAAAACAGAGAGGAAACAACAAAACAAAAATGTACCACAAAAAAAGAAATCTATACAGTAGTAAAAAACAAACTGGTATCTACTATATAAGAATTTTGTCGCTGTGATAGACTTCTGTTTGCGATAAACATTAAATTTGTGTGATAATCCACTCTGTACCAAATACAACATCTTCCTCAAAAACAGATAGCAACGAAAACAAACAAAAGCCTATCATAGAGTCTGACACCGTTACCAGATAAAATAGACCTACAACATAATTAGAAATCGTTTAGGAATAGACAAACATCTCTATACCAGGACATTATTCTTACAATCATAACTTAAGCCATACCAGGCTTTCTTTAGGTCAAGAACAAATATCTCGCCCTGACAGGCAGTCTTCACAACAGACAAGTCTATGACATAGATATGCTATGACCACGAGCACGTGCTCTATCTAAACGATATGCACTCATGGAGGGTCATTCGTGTTCCAGTCAATGTTTTGATAATTTATAAGTTACGTAAGAAAGCATGCAATGTCCTTTAATAAAACATCAGACTTTGCAGCACTTAACAATGCAAATATGCCGTATAATATACAGGTTCTTTACAAGGAATTCTCCAAGAATAGATTCGTGTTGTGTGTCACTCCTATCATATTTATATATAGAACTGGCAATATCCACATTTATTTTTTCTTTTCTTTTTTATATATCTTTGTTTTTGAAGAAGTTTTTGACTATAATTTTTCGATGAATTTATATCGGTACAACCCTTTAGATGATGAATAGATATATATAACTCGGACACTATCCTCGAATAAGAAAGACGGACATGCTACTACTATTGAAGTGCTAGTAGAACTCAAATCAGTCTCCTGACGTCATCCTCAGTATAATTTATCGTAGCGTTTGTTGCATTTTTCATAAAACATGCTCCAAATAGTTCAAAACCATATCGCCGTTGAAAAAGAAAACTCCTGCAGTAAGAGAGAAACTATTTTTCTCCAGTTCGGAATTAGATAAAAAGTAGAAAATCAAACGTTTTGATGAAAGAAAAGTGTTTGAGGTGAAGATGCTAAGGATTGATCAAAAGAAAAGATCTTTGATGTTCCTCATATTCTGCATAGTGAATTCCACAGCTGGGTATTTTGTGTCACAATACAACTTTAAATGGGACAATTAATGGTTGTTCAATTTTGAATAATGGCTTTGTTGAACAACTACTGTATTGTAGGAATTGATAACCTGTTGTTTTTAAGGCTTTCTGTGAAGTTTCAGACTCCAATTAAAACGAGGCAGGTCCGTATCTTTATCAAAAACGTTATTTTGATTGCAATACAGAAATCATTGTTAGTAAGTGTTTTTCGTCTTCCGAAAATCTCAAAAATTGCATAAGTAGACAAATAATGATCAATATTAAGAATTTTGTCTGCCGAAACAACCAAAATCCTTATCATGAAGTTTGTAGAGTGTTATGTGGATATGGGGGTTTAGAATACATATTTGTGTTTTGTGTTCGGTTTTAAGCTGCTAGCTCCTTTCATTTCAATAATAGTACTGACAAATTGTTTGCCGCTGACATGACAGACTGAAACCACTCTGAAAGTCAACCCAATTCAGCGTACCTTCGTTCAGCTCACAGTCATCAATATCTTGATAATATATGTTCATTATGATAAGGTTATATTTTACATATTGTTCAGAATAAGATTAAATTTTCTGCAATTCTCTATCACTTCAAGCTTGTATGGACAAGCATAAATGTTCTCGTAGCACAACCAATAGGCGTTTTTGTGTGCCGTTGCGATTTAGTTGTTATACATGTACAAAATAACGAATCAAACCGACATGTCAATTCGGCTACGCTTTGTTTAAAACCTGGTCATAGCTGTGCAAAGGTCTATGAGCCCCCCTATCTTGATTCAGAACCCGCTGTGGAATATCAAGATGGCTCCCTTCTTTTGAACAGATATCTGTCTCTGTCAAGTACTTTGTAATCATCCCAGTTACATGTAATTACATGATGATGATGACAGAGACAGTACCGTACTAGTCAACGAATAGTCACAAATAAACACGTATTGCTTATGCTGTATGAACCTTAGATTTATATTTACTTACCAACCTGAGGAAATTGTTTATGACTTTGCCCTTGATGATAGTGCGGTGCGTTAGGGTTTACTATTACAACATAAATTATACGGTAGGAATGTGTAGGAGAAAATAATAATCAATCATTCCTGTGTAAGGCCGACAGAGAAAAAGCGACCCTCGCGATACTAATTTTGATAATAGTTTAGCACCAGTAAAAGCCACGGGATTAATAGTCGACAATTTTAATATTACCTTCATGTTAAGATTTCTCTGTTACTTCATATAGGAGTGAATGCTACATTCATTCACTGTGTGTCCTTTTCTGCTGATGTCAGCTGTAACATAGCAACACTATTTATGTGCATCTGTCGCCCTTGACAAGTTTTCTTACATTTGTCATTTCGGCTGTATTTTAAATGCAGGATCCACATAATTTTACCTTTATAAATGCCAGGTGAATGTATGGTATATGTACCGAGAACAAATCACCATCTATGCATGTTAAAATGTCATTTTTCCTCGAAAAGAAGGGCCCTGTCATGGACGTCCATTATTAAGATAGGTTGACGGAAACTAGTTTTTAATGTAGATAGTTAATATTTTTTGTTTTACCTTGTATATGATAGATTACAAACTACGTGTCCTCCTCTAAGGTCACGTGACTACCCAGTGAAGTGCTGAGCCATGATAATAATTAACTTGTTACATAGGCCAAACATGCAGTCATATTTAGATTTCAAATCATTTCACGCAAGTTGTAAATAGGAATAATTATCAGCACGTTATCATAAAAACATATCCATTGACCGACTCAATCATTTAAGGCAAATTAAATTTAAGCGGTATGAAATCTTCTTGTTTCTATTCAAAAATAAGTCATCAGGAAAAATATTTGTTGTAGCTTAATTGTGAACTTTGTTTCAGAATTATGTATACAACACCTAAAATTATGGAAAAATGGCAACAAACATTTACATTTCTTAAAGATAATAATTCTGGTATGTTTTATAGTTTCATACAGTTTACACAAAAATGATGTCAAATCAAATTTTCTTACATTTCAAGGTATCAGTGATACTTTAAAAATGTATCTGTTCCTTGGAGATATTTTATTTATCCATGCATATAGTTAAATGTAAAAATATCTATGAAGTATGGAAAAGGCACTGAAGAGTTTTAAATTTGTCAGACTAATACTAAAATAATGCTATGTTCATTGGAAAAGCAGATGGAATTAGGTGTTTGAATTCGGTGATGAAACATGGAAAATGATTTATATAATATC